AAAAGCTGTGAAGGCGCGAATTCAAAGAAATCCCAAACCTAAGCAGAAACTGTTGGCCCTTCAGATGGGGTTAAGCAGAACCACGGTGAAAAGGGTGTTAAATGAAGACTTAGGGCTTCGGGCATATCGAAGAAAAACAGGACATCGTTTGAATGCTCATCTAATGGACCTGAGACTGAAGAGATGTCGCGCTTTGTTGAAGCGGTACGCGGGAAAAAAATATCGGGAAATTCTTTTTTCGGATGAAGAATTTTTTACCGTAGAACAGAGCTACAACAAACAAAATGATAAAGTGTACGCACACATTAGTGAAGAAGCGAGCAACCGTATTCCGCGTGTCCAACGAGGTCATTTTCCATCCTCGCTCATGGTATGGTTGGGAGTTTCTTATTGGGGCTTAACAGAGGTACATTTTTGTGAGAAAGGTGTAAAAACGAATGCAGTTGTGTATCAAAATACAGTCCTGACGAACCTTGTGGAACCTGTTTCTCATNAATGTCAATAGTATAGAATGTATTTTCTGATTTGCATGGTGTCATGACATAATAATTATTTACATTAGAAACTGTTTGCATGAAATCATTAATGCTATGTCTTATTTTATTTTCTGCTGGCATACTCTGAATAAATGGAAATGCAAACATGATGATCTTTTTCACCTGTAGTGTTAATAATTGATTTATTTGATATTTTATATCTCTCACCTTGAGACATAAGTTCTAAAGTCTCAAGTATAGTTACAACGGCTGCCCCACCCTTCAAACCGAAACGCCTTACTGCTTCACGGCAGAAATAGGCAGGGTGGTGGTACCTACCCGCGCGCACTCACAAGAGGTCCTACAACCAGTAGGTAATTACGCAAATTATAATTTTGGGGGTTTCATTTTTATAACACGATAGCGACCCGCCCTCGCTTCGCTTCGGAAACATTAAAACACACATGAAACCAAAAAAATAAATAAAAAAAAATAAAAAAAAGTTGCCTATGTTCATCAGAGACAATGTCGGCTTCTAATGGAAAAAGAATTTTTCAAATCGGTCCAGTAGTTTCGGAGCCTATTCGAAACAAACAAACAAACAAACAAACAAATCTTTCCTCTTTATAATATTAGTATAGATATAGATATAGATATTACTCCTTCACCGTGGAAGTCAATCTTGAATATTTGTCGAGTACCTATTTCATTAGAAAAGTTTGAAGTATGCGCTTGATTTAAATAAGACGGAAAGCGCGATTTGTCCTTCCCTAGACTAAAATCTAAATTTAATTTTACAAACTGACAGAATACATGTTTATAAGTCGTTCAAAGTAGGTACAAAGCTCATTTTTTTAAATGTTTTAATTAAGCCACATCAATGCTAAGGGTTAGATATACGAACGAATTATTGGACCGAAGTATCTGTGACGTCATAGATAATACTAGCCGTACTCGCCCGCTTCGCTGGACATTTAAAATTAATTGTTATTTATTGTCATTATTATTAAAGAGTCCAACACTTATATTAGCCTATCCATTAAGTAGGTACATGAATTTTCTACATGGACACCAAGTTTCAAGTCAATCGGATGCATGGTTCAGTAGTTATAACGGAACATCCGTAAAAACTACTGTAGATTTATATATTAGTATAGATAATACAGCTAAAAAACGTGAGATTAAAGAATAAAATTAATTTTAATATCGCCTACGAGTCGAGAGAATCGAAGATATTTATACCTGGGGGGAGAAAAGCAAATAGCCTATTGTCGTTAGCGAGAGTCAAGAATCTTTACAACACCTATGATAGCTACCGCTTCCTCATTCGTTTATAACTTTAGCATTTTTTACTTTATAACGTCATATAAATCGATAAAGATCGGCTGCACGCACGGAAAAGTGTCACGTTCCGATTGAGCGTGCGAGCGAGAGCGCGGAACAAGCGATAGAGAGGCACGATCAGTCCAAGCGTTGGCTTGTGACACATTTGTCTCTCTTCTCGCGTGACGTCAGAGCTAGCTTTTTTTTTCTTACCTAAGCCAATAATAGCCTTGAGAGGCTATTTCAGCGTAACCTTAACTAGTAGGTGAGCTCACGGGGCTCAAATCGGAGTATTGCTAACACTGGGCCTAGCAAAAGCCATGCTTCGCAGAATCTACCACCGGATCGGAAACGCGACCCACTGAGAAGATCCGGCGAGAAACTCAGTGGGCTGTCTGTGGGTTCATTTACTTGTTGGGCCTTCGTCGCAAGCGACGGGTTCGACGAGGACGGTGACCGGTGCTTGAGGTGCCTAAAAGCACTATTAGTAGATCAGGAGGATCCGAAATGACGTGCTTGGGGCGACGTCGACTGCTTTCCATTCTGTCTGCAGGATCGGGAATGTAGTTACCGGCGGCCACGATGAGAGGGTTCTCGTGTCGTGCCGCTTTATCGAAGTGGCGCATCGACGTCGACTGCAGATACTTACTGATGGACTCTAAGTCCAGGTCGCCATGGAAGTCGACGTTCCTGACGAACCACGAAGCTCCGACGGCTATCCTGCAAAAATGGGATTGAATTACTCGGAATGATTTTAAGTAAGTGCGGGCCGCGTGAGCGAACACTACACTTGCATAGGTCATGACGGGGCGTATGCAAGTTTTGTAGAGTGTCACCTTATTTCTAAGGGACAATTTACTTCGCCTACATATCATCGGGTAGAGGGCTACTGACGTTATCACGTCAAACTATCGTCCGTAAACCAACCTTACAGACAACTAATATTGTTTTTTTTTAATTCCCCGTCGCCTGCACGCTAGAGTTGACAGTAAGAATGCTCTCAACCCGTCCAGGGTTCAATGTAACTATAACAATTGCTCCTCCCGGCCCGTAACTCAATTCCAATGACGCACAATTGATCTCCAGCGACCTTCCACTCGACGCGTTTATTGAGTTCAAATTATGTTCACGCTTTGTTTAGCTGCGGAGTACCGGCAGGGTACTTGTACATAAATTAATTTCGCGTTGATGCGAGGGCTTTTTCGAGCGAACCCAAATTTGTTTGAGACTAGCTGACCCGGCAGACTTCGTAGTGCCTCAATCGATAAATAAAAGACCTAAACTTTTGTATAAAATAAACTTAAAACAAACAAAAGGAAACCGTCCGACGGGGGACACATCAAAGGAAAAACAACATTGTTATTTTTATTTAATTCCGAGCATTTTCATATTTTTCTACCTTTTAAACCATCTCTGGACTTCCAAAAATAATTCAAGACCAAAATTAGACAAATCGGTCCAGCCGTTCTCGAGTTTTAGCGAGACTAACGAACAGCAATTCATTTTTTTATATATAGATAGATTCTTTTGATTGAATGGAAAGTCTATATAATTACCTAATACATGAAGCATAAACATTGTACCCCTTTTTACGAAAATTGCGCGGACGGAGGAAGTAAATAATTTCCCACACTTGTAGACTTTTTTTTTTATTGCCTTTGTAGGCAGACGAGCATACAGCCCACCTGATGGTAAGTGGTCACCGTCGCTCATGGACGTCAGCAATGCCAGGGGCAGAGTCAAGCCGCGAGAAGGAGTGCAGAATGATAAAAATTTTCGTAAATTATGCTTAAAAAATACATTTAATCAATAAATAAAAACATTACACACGCTACCATGTATTTGACACAAATACGCATGCGTACTATTTGTTTATTATCAAACTTTTCTTATTGCTTATAGTCTGTGGTCAAATTGGGAATAGATTAAATATTGTTTGTCTTTATTAAAATTTGTCCAAAATCAAGGGCGGATCCAGCTTTGGCGCCAGGAGGGGGTCACATAGTCGTGGGCATGTTAAGAACTTATAATGATAACAATAGATAATAAATAAATCATTATGTTCTTCAATTAGTCCAAGTTAGTTCAAGTCCTGGAACTAGCTCTAGGATCCGCCGTTGTCCAAAATATAGGTAGAATAATAACAGCTCAGTACACTTGAATAATTAATTATGTTTGACGGAGTGGCTGGTTCCTTGGGGTTTTAAAATACCGACGTCAGTGTCGCTGACGCTATTCTTGTCCACGTTATCATTGCCTTCCCTAGAGACAATAATTAAAACTTATTTTTTCAAACAATTCATTTTGTTGAAATTCAAGCGTACAAAAATAACAACAGAGAGCTCCGCATCGTTCGACTGCTCGAGTCAGAATGTGTTGGCCGTTTTTTTTTTCCTACATATTCTAGTAGCCTCGAGGGGTTATTCTAGATTCACTGAACTAGTAGGTGAACTCACGAGGCTCACCTGAAGACGTTACTAATACTAACCCTAGCAAGAGCCGTGCTTCGCAGAATCTACCGCCGGATCGGAAACGCGCCCCACTGAGAAGATCCGGCGAGAAACTCAGTGGGCTGCGTCTATGGGTTAATTCAAGAACGATGAGCGGTGCTTGGGATAACTTAAAGCACCGTTAATGGATCGGGAGGATCCGTAATGACGTGTTTAGGGCGACGTCGACTGTTACCATTCGGACAAATATTTTGTTTGTATGGAAACTAGCGACATCTTGTAGCGCATGCCTCTAAACTTATAGGTTGTTAAAGTTAAGGCATTTAATTACTGTATAACTAAATATAGTAAATAAAAAACTAATAAATCATACAAATCTTTATTTGTTATAGACAAATTGATTAAATTTTATCAGTTTGTGGTTTCTGAAAATTTACAAAATTCTTCATTAAAAATAAAATATAGGATAGGTAATATGTTACTGCCGTCTACAGGAGCAATGAGGAACTGATCGAAGTGAAGCCATCTAGTGGCCGAAGCCCGTAAACATTATTGTTGAGTGCTTGAGTTGCTTATCTATAACTAATTTAGGTATATTATCTATGAGTAAGCGGTTCTACTCAAACAATACGTTTTAATTCGAATTGAGACAGCCCCAAAACTATCCATGTGTTCCACCACCACTTAACACCAGCTCGGCTATCGAAGGAGCTCCTTTGCTTGTGACTTATTTTGTGCTTTTTGTCTGCAGCAACATGACTTAGAGCAGACACGATGAAGGTCCTACTCCTCTTGGCTCTGAGCTGGGCGACCGCCGCGGCCACCTGCCCATGGGCTTGCTCCTGCAGACCACCGGCGGCTGACTGCGCGCACAGAGGACTCCTGCATGTACCGAAGCGCTTGCCTCCGGATTCGCATAGACTGTGAGTATTCATTGAACTCGTCAGATCATTGCGTTGTACTGTTAAAACTGAGATCTTACTACTCAGATCTTGGGGTGGGTGGCGTCATTTACGTTTTTTTTATTGCTTAGATTGGTGGACGAGCTCACAGTCACAGCATACCTGGTGTTTAGTGGCTACTGGAGCCCATAGACATCTACAACGTAAATGCGCCACCCACCTTGAGATATAAGTTCTAAGGTCTCAGTATAGTTACAACGGCTACCCCACCCTTCAAACCGAAACGCATTACCGCTTCACGGCAGAAATAGATGGGGTGGTGGTACCTACCCGTGCGGACTCACAAGAGGTCCTACCACCAGTAAAGTATTCATTGAACTCGACAGATAATTGATGATCTTACAATTCAGCTCTCGGAGTGGGTGGCGGCATTTACTTTGTATATGTCTATTGGCTCCAGCTACTATTAAACACAAGGTGGGCCGTGAGCTCATCCACAAACCTAAGCTATAAAAAAAAATGGTCACGATCATCGGGGAAAGAGCAAAGGCTAGTCTTTTTCCTGTCGTCATCACATTTAAAAAACACCAGACAGCATACGGATTTCTTAATCAGCTCCACAATATTCTAAAATTACATTCTAATAAGTCAGATGCCATATTATTAATGCAAACAGAGAAAAATCTCAAAGGCTTATTGGAAACAACACCAAAGGATTATTCCTTAAAATCAACATTAATTTTGACAGTTTTGACAGATGTCAAAAAATACGGCATTGGTGGTGGGACGTCTTGTGAGTCCGCACGGGTAGGTACCATCACCCAGCCTATTTCTGCCGTGAAACAGTAATGTGTTCCGTTTTGAGTGGCGCTTGGCAGCCGTTGTACTGTAAAAACTGAGACCTTAGAACTCATGTGGCCAGGTAGGTGGCGGTTATGTTGTAGATGTCTATGGGCTCCGGTAGCCACTTACCACTCTGGTGCGCCGTGAGCTCGTCCTCTCATCTAAGCAACATTAAATTGTAGCAGCCCGTGGAATCGCAAAGTGAATCTCCCGGCGGGAACTTAAATCTCAATTGCATGGTATTGTTACGGCGGTAAGAGTAACGCCATCTGCCGCCGAATAGTCGAACGAATATCGAAGGATCTAGTAGGGGAGTAAGGGGAGATTGGAATGCTACCTTCACCGGCCCTATTGTCAACCCTACCTGCACGCGCCGGATGGCGGCGGCGACCAACAGGTTGCCGTGGTGCTCCCTGCTAGAGAACGAACGGGGCAATGGCGACCGAGCAATGGCGGTATAACCATACACACCCGTCAGGACAACCTGTACGGAAGAGGCGTCAGAAACCTTGGGGATCAAATACCCCCTAAAATGCTGGTGCAGAAGGCAACGGGAAACCACTGCACTAATTTCCCACGAGAGTCATGAGCAGGTCGTATCCGACTGATGCATGACCACGACCACTCTGTCAAGAGTGTACGAATAGGAAGAAGAAGTAGCACCTAGAACGTTCGAGAAGTACAATGCCATCTATTGTCAGATAGCGGAAACACACATCGAAAGTACTCGACTTATGAGGAATGTTCTCGACGATTCTAGGGATGTCGTATCAACTATAAAAGCGTTGCAGACATGGCACGCAGTCAGTCAGTAATCGGAACTACTCGAAGCGAAACAGCGAACGGATCACCTGAAGCGAAGCCGAACTTAGTATTTTAAAGTGTCCGTTAAGTGTTTTAAATTAAATAAGAGTTTTAATTTGCACTTCGGTAGAATTTTTATTTATCCCGAACCCCAGCGCGTAACAGTATAAAGGGTGCTACGAACCATGACCATACGACTCCTCCACAGTAGAAACGACCCGGATAGAGGCACTTACCCGGGTGGGCTCGGGATACGCTTTAAGCTCATTAAAACTTATAGGCCTCCATACGCGGTATTTTCTTGCGCAACCCCCATCATTTGGGGGACAGAAAAGGTCTTATGAGGTTTCGTATTACCCGCGAGACAGTTCTCAAAGTCGTTTCCCGGGCGACCCATAAAGATTCACATATCTTCACGCTTCATGACCTGTATTAAGGTGAATAAACACCCCCGAAATATTTGGTGAAAATGTTTTTGTTAAGTAATTCGTAATATCAATTCTTCTTCATCAGCTGTATTTGTCGTACTATTTTGTGTACATATGCCCCTCAATAATAACACAATATAAATAACTAGCTGTACCTGTCCGCTTCGCTGGGCATTTAAAATTAACATTATTATTTCTCACCCCCACAAAGATTCTCATCATTAACGCCCCTTAACTGGTGTACGCAGTCCAACACTCTCCAACAGTCATAAATATTAGCCTATCCATGAAGTACATGTATATTCTACATTGATACCAATTTTCAAGTCACCTTGATGCACGGTTCGGTAGTTATAACGGAGCATCTGTAAAAACCACTGTAGATTTATATATTGATACAGATAATGCAGGCGAAGGGCTCGACGAGTGAATTAACCCATAGACACAGCCCACTGAGTTTCTCGCCGGATCTTCTCAGTGGGTCGGGTTTCCGATCCGGTGGTAGATTCTGCGAAGCACGGCTCTTGCTAGGGCCAGTGTTAGCAACACGCCGGTTTGAGCCCCGTGAGCTCACCTACACGTCAAGGAGAAGCTGAAATAGCCTCTCAAGGCTATCAGCATAGGTAGCAAAAAAAATACATTCCTGAATGCATCGTCTTTATGTAAAGACGATTTATTGTTAAAACGCGACAGAACTGAATTGACTTGAGTATAGCGGAAACACACGTCGTTTGCACTATTTCTTTTATAAAATAAACTCAGTGTCAGTCAGTTTCCTTTTTAATACGCTTTTATTAGCTTCAGACGTATGTATGTTAGTATGTAACGGAATCTTTGAACATGATTTTGACTCCCTTCAAAACGTCGGATTAACTCGAAATTTGGCATACTTATTAAGAACCGATGACAATTCAATATTTAAAAAAATATATATATATAAAGTTGAAATTCAACTCAAAAATGAAAAATACGTATTTAATAGTTTAAAAAAACTAATAAAATACGCTTTTATAGAAAATCCAACTAAAAAATAGAAAAGAATTTTAATAAATTTGAATAAAACATAGTTTTTACGATAAAATCATTTTTACTTACACTATTTTTAATTCATATTTATTAAAATTTATTTTTTAGTTGGATTTATTTTAAAAGAGCTTCTGCACCCACCTGCAATAGTACCACCAGAATATTCGCTGCTTCACCAACTAGCAGACCAGAACAGCAAGACTACCCCAACCATGGGATTTCCAAAACACTCTCTTTTCCTTATACGTGTAAGACTACGTAAACATGTCTTGCCTAAATTATTGAATAGAAAAATATATGTAGTATTCCGTTATGTTCATTAAGCGTGGACTGTATTTTTTTTGTATGAAATGTTTATTGAACCTTTAAAAATTAACGACTTAATATAATAAAACCATAAAATTGATGAGTTGCTTTTGGCGGCTCGATTTGAAAGAGTTTGGTGTCATGGCGGACGTCGCTCGCTGACATTTTCATTTTCAATTTGCAATTGTAGATGTCTATGAGCTCCAGTTAGCACTTAACACCAGGTGGGCTGTGACCACGTCCACCCACCTAAGCAAAAAAAAAAAAACTGAAAACCTAGTATGGTAAAAACAAAAAAAAATAACACTCATATAATAAATCGAACTAGCTATTATTTATCTACTAGCTGTAATTTTTCTTTTTATCCTAACGATAAAAATCAGGATGTTAGAGCGAAGTTACAAAACGCGTTTAGCGATGCACCGGTTTTCGAATCCCGCAGGCGGGTACCAATTTTTCTAATGAAATACGTACTCAACAAATCTTCATGATTGACTTCCAAGGTGAAGGAATAACATCGTGTAATAAAAATCGAACCCGCAAAATTATAATTTGCGTAATTACTGGTGGTAGGACCGTCCGTCTTGTGAGTCCGCGCGGGTAGGTACCACCGCCCCGTATATTTCTGCCGTGAAGCAGTAATGCGTTTCGGTTTGAAGGGTGTGGCAGCCGTTGTAACTATACTTGAGACCTTAGAACTTATATCTCAAGGTGGGTGGCGCATTTACGTCGTAGATGTCTATGGGCTTCAGTAACCACTTTACACCAGGTAGGCTGTGAGCTCGTCGTGATAGCACGGGGAATCCTAATTTGCGTCCGTATGACCGTGCGCAATTTGGTCACGGTTATTTAAAGACAAAATCGCGGAGAACAGTAAACGTTGTTCATGCTGAAACGTCGCCTTAATAACACGTCGGGTGGGGGAAACTATTCTCACTGACTAATTACTCACGAGAACAAATTACAGAAGTTTCAGAAACTAATCTAGAACAATTTAAAAGCAGTTGAGCACTAACTCCGCGCGGAGCGGCGTCGCATTGTGTACAGACGACGCCAAAACTTCTTTTTTGAAATTAAATATTTAATTCAACTAAATCAGTCTGAGAGTTACACTGCTGTTGTCTTAAGGGTGCTTAAAGTTTTCCTTGAGGCTTGAGGTTGGAGTTAGGGAGGCCCAGTGATGGATTTATGCCTAGGTCCGTGAGGTCCAGACCTGGAGGGGCATGGTTAGAGGGACGACGAAATTTTTGGCAAATTATTTCAGAGGTGAAAGAAATATTAAAGACAGTCTCCTTTGAAAATGAATTCAAATTAATTTTTATATTATATTATAAATGAATATAAAAAATTGATTAAATGTTTTTTCTAGATTTATTTACTCTGATCTAATTTATTTCTAAAATTATTCCTACATTTCATTTCAAAACGAACTGATAGAGTATCTTGGGATCTGGTATTTTGTTTGACTCGGGTTTTAATTTTTTTTTCTATTGCTTATATGGTTGGACGAACTCACCCACTTAATGTTAAGTGGTTACCGTAGCCCATAGACATCTGAAACGTAAATGCCACAATCTACCTTGATATTTGAGTTCTAAGGTCTCAATTGTAACA